GTAGTCAGACCAAATCTATAACCTCTGTTTTATAATTGTCTAATGATAAATAATAACAGTAGCATATAATTGAGAGTAAATTAGTATATTTTATATATATATATTTATATATAAATAATATATCCACATATGTGCATAAGCATATATAAAATTTACAAAAATGGGTGCTTATTAGTCTTGCTACGTTACTGCTTTCTGCTACGGAAGGCCAGAAAGCATTTTTAGGCGGCATCTCGCGTATACCGGCACGGTAGAGGAACAAGGAGAACACGTGATTATCGGTCCTTGTCTCTCTTACGTGCGTCCGCGTGAGCGATGCAGTGGTGTATGTACGTGTACAGACATACACCATTACATAAAACCCGAGAATTGGTTTCTCGGCGTTGGCAACACTGAAACCGGAGTTTCGCGTTGTCACCGCACGAGGTCTCCTACATCAATTCGGAGTTTGGCCGACCGACCTGTCGACCCTTAAGGGTCGACAGGCGACATGGTGGAGACGCCTATCGGCCGGCCGGGAATTACGGATTCGTTCATCCCATATATTAGCCAAAATACTTAATGAATCTTATTAAATTTACGATATTCTTAATCAGTAGGATTGTCCGCAGGGAGACAAAGATCGATTTTTTGGAAAAAAGATAAATATAAAATTCATAATATAACTTGGGAGATGCGCAGCTAGCAGCGGGTAAGGTTGGGTTAGCCACGAGATCGCATTTAATTTATTATAATTTTTAAGAGCAATAATGCAAAATTTGACTCTTTGTCTCCCTGCTTTATTATATAAAGAATATATTAAAAAATATTTCACGAAGCTACGTAACTTCTTTTTATGTAATATTTGGGATGAACAAATCTCACTAGATCTATACTCATGGGGAAATTTTCGTGGTAACATACTGACAGCTTGACAAGGAGAGAGTATCATTCTATCTTTGTCTCTCTTGCATTTGATATGTGTAAAATCAGTATAAATAAAAACCAATATATTACGCACACGAATGAGAAATATTTTACATCTGCTCATTATATATGAAAATATAAAAGTAATGCAAATTAAATTTCACATTTATTTATAATAGTATTGTGAGGTATTACACATGGAAATCTTATAAGATGAATGCTGTACATCGATTAGCGTAATATTATGATTTTAAGCGCAATAAATGATTTTGCTAATATATTATTTTGAATAAAAATTTTGTAAATAAATAAAACTGAAATGAATAAATTTTATTCATTCTTTGTTTTTTTTTTATATTATTTGAATAAAAGGTGTATCGTATATGTAATAGATAAATAAAATTTATATATATGTATATATTGAAATTAATATATATATATATCTATATATATACATATATATTTCAAAACGTATTACTACTTCCAAGTACAGGGACAGCTCCATTAACGCAAAGAAATTATTGCATTTTTGCCCCTTACGAAAAGGAACTATTGCCGGCCGTGTGATTATTACACGCGGCTGTGTGATTATTACTGATGGCTCTGTAATTATCAAGACGAATATTATTGCCTCTATAATAATTACTAGCAACGGAATACAGACGAATATTACTCGCCTGTTGGGTATCACTAGAAAGATCACTGCATATGTAATAACTACTGAGGGTACAAATTACACGCAAATATTACTGGATGTCGCTCATGATTAATTCTATTATATAATATAAGCAGAAATATTGAAAATGTTATTGCAAATATAAAAACTTTAAAATTTTGTTATGCTAGAAGGTTTAAATATTTCTTTCAAATAAAGCAGCAAAATATTTTTGCAAAGATACAAATAATATTAGGTGTTTTTATATATGAATAATGTAAATTTAATTAAAAAATAAATGTTTTATAAATATATAGTATAAATTATTATTTATATATTTAATAAGTTTTTGCTTTTATTTATTTTAATTATTTACGAAAGATTTTATTGAACGTTTTTTAATGTCTAAAATATTTAAAAATTAATGTTCCATATTTTCTGCAATAAATAATTTTTTACAATGTTAAAATTTTTTACAATGTTAAAATTTACAATGTCACAAAGTGAATAACGTACAATAAGTTACATACTATCAACGTTATTTTTTATTTGGAAGAAAAGATTTTTAATACAAATGTTAAAACAATTATTGCTTTACATGTATAGATTTTTAAATTTACATTTTTTTACATTTTTACTTTTACATATGTTTTTTACATTTACATTTTTCATTATAAACTTATTTCATAATTCTTATTATTTATATAATTCAATCAGTTTCTATATTATTTACAAGAGGTATTATGCATCGCTTATTATTATCATAATTAATATTGTTTGTGGAATAAACAGGAATATTAATACATTTCTTTCTAATCGCAGAAGGAAATACACATTTAATAATGTCTGTTTTTTCTATAACGTAAGAGAAAAGATTTGACGTTATATTCCTATTTTTACATATTTCATCACCACGCAGTGTTTGCAATACCTTACAAATTAACAATTGTTTTTTTATGCCTGCTGATGTTTCTGCTATACATAGATATTGAATATCTAATAACGATCTATCTGTAGTTAAAATTGTACTGTTACATCTTTTTTTTAGTTGAGTACAATTGGAACCATGATAGAGAATATTTTGGTATATAAATCGCTGATAAGCTAGTGCTTTGTTTTTAACTGATTCTCCCAAAAATTGTTCGACAGTTATTTTTTCTATTAATGATAACTCTATGATAATTGCAGAACCAAATGCTCGCAAAGAATTTCCATATTCCATGCATCTTTTAATTCGACATTCTTTTATAATAGAATCAAAAAGATCCTTTCCTTTTTTACTACAATTAGGCTGATCAAAAACTGAACTTTGTTTTACGTATCTTATACGAGAATAAAATTTGCAGATTTGTTCCGGAATATATTGAGTGCCGTTAAAAAGTGATTGTATAGTATGATTAAAATCTTCATACGGAAAAGTTGACCATGCCCACAAAGCGCCAAATTGTTTTACAGCTTTTGGAATATGTAACATCAAGTGTATATTGTAGTTCATAAACATTGCTCCATACAATTTTTCAGTATCAAGTACAAATTTTTGGAGCGCAAACGTAGCTATGATAAAATTATTAGGAGATATTGTTGTACTTAGAAAAACATGCATACTGTAAACTAGTAACAACCAATGCTGTACATATTTATTTGGCATTAACCCTTTTAAACATATGAGAGAATAATATAAAGCAAAATTTTTGTATTCTGCACCTTTCCACAATCTCCGTTGTGTTATTGATTGAGGTGTTCTAGTTATTTCGGAGGTAGGTTTCATGCTCATTAATCTTTTATCAAAGAGCACTTCGTGCTTACGTAAGGACCAATCTTTCTCACGATTGCTAGAATCAAACCATGCCATCAAAAATTGTTTAATTACACCTTCTGCCAGGCTGTGCAAATATTCCGGCGGAAATGATGAAATGACGTTAAACAGTGGTATAAGTGTAACAATTGATGGCCATTTGACGCCCTTAACTGGTTTATTTTTTTCTTGACTTTTTTCAGCATGACGCACGTAATGGCTCTGTTTACGTAAAGTACATATATTGCCACAGTATACTCGTTTTCGCCTATTTTGTTCTATACAAATTTGTTTTCCTTTATGATAACAATATGGGCACCCATACTTTCCATTATACTGCTTTATACCCTGAATGGCTGATCTGGCAACAGAATCAACCGGAGCAAGCAATGTATGGACTTTTATAAGAATTGGTTCTTGGTGAATGAATGTCGTGCTTTCAAAGCCATTAAAATGTAAATCTATCAGTTCTTCAAGAAAAGGTTGGAGAAAAACATTCATTGGAGGTTTACTTGATTGGAACCATAAACCAGTTAGCAATATTTGTTGTTTTCGAATACGATAAGGCAATTCATTAATTGTTACCAAAATTGGCCATAAAGAAGATAGGGAAGAATTAAAAAGTTGTACGCCATCTGTATTCCATTGAATAGTAATGTCATTTTCCCCTATAATATTTTTTCTTTTCAGTTTACGGTACACTTTACCATTGATAACGTCACTTTCCTTTTCGTTTTCCTGTCGAAATTGCATAAAAACCTTAGAATTAACTAACTCGATTAGTTGCTCTTTCAGCGGTATATATATAAAAAATTTTCCATCTTTTTTGAGCTGTGATGGGTTATACTGCTCAGAACAATTATCGCATTTTACAGTAATGCAGTCATTGTCAACATGTAAAATAAGTATACATTGTGGACAAAAGTAATATACATGATAAGTCTGCTTTGGTACAGATTTACAAAATAGATATTTCGAACCGTGACATGTGCGAGGAAGATGACAATCAATGGTTTGGATGAAAGATTGTAATGCTGCATCAGTGAAATGATGACGTAAGGCTACACTCATTATTAGAAGTACACTTTCTTCTTTTGTTAAATCGCAGCCCTCATATAAAACTTGTCGGCACTGTAATATTTTTTAAATATTATTAAAAATATTGTATGCGTAATAATAACTTTAATTTATTTGTTTACCTGTACGTCATGATTGGGACAACGCTTTTCAACATTAATATTTTCATCTTCAAAATTTTCTTCATCCTGATCTGATTCGAAATTCTCGGAGCCTTCATTGAAATCGCTAACACTTGATGATTTGTGCTCTTCAATACTGTCATAATCATTATTATCATCGCTTATGCTTGTATCACTTTGCTGGTCACTGTCATCAATTTCTTGAACCGATGAATTACTATCATCAATATTATCAAGATTTGCAATACATAAATGGTCTAGTAGTTCCTGTTGATTTACATAATCTTCATTTTCATGCAGATCATCAAACGGTAGTCCATTCTACACATAATATTCATGTGTCAAAATACATATATATACAAATTGCAAATACTTAACATATAAAGAAAAACATATGTCAATAAAATTATAACTTCAAAATTCATGTAAGTAAATCAAATATTACAATTATATTTTAGAAAATGCAAATTTATAATTATTTATTATGTACTTACACGTGCATCAGGGGACATAACCTCTTCATTGTATGTCGTTCTCTTGCCCGTACTACATTCACCAACACCAACTCGTCTTTTCTTTCGAGAATAGTCTGTCGATAGAGGAAGGTCGCCAGTCCTTTTCAAATGTTCTTTATAAGGGCCTCGTTTCATTATTCTCAATACTTCGTTTCAAAACCATCGATGTAATGTATACAAAAACATAGAGCCACGTGATAACGAGGTGATATGCAAACTGTTGCGCGTTGAGCATGCGTTGTGGAACGCATGCGTACGCGCATAAGGATAACGCGGTAAACCAGAAAGAATCATACTCGCGATACGATCGTGCTAACAAGGAATTCGGAGGAATTTGGAAAGTATAGATAATTATAGTATTTATCGGATAATGGAGGTGAATGACACAGAGGAGTTGAACGATGAAAAGTGTATTCTCGTAGAGTTTCCTAACGAGAACGGAAATATAGCCGTTGGATATTTCGCATGGCTAACAACAGTGAAAGAAGAAGAACGTGTAAATGCACTTATAAAAAGCGGTGAACATGTAGTTATTCGTTGGCCGGCGAATTGCATCGTTGGTCCACTGAATGCAAAAATGAAGAAAAAATTTCTTAATTGCAAGTGGACTCCGCACATCGTGTCCATTTTAGGATTTGGAGGTTATTAATATGAGTATAGTTTTTAAATAAAAAATTTTATTATATTTACTTTACTGCATATATGGCAGTGACAAATATTATTTAATTAGGATACTTGTAAATTTGTAAAATTATAAATATCTACATTTATATATTCACAGATTGGACAAGCATGAACACGCAGCTTAAAAATTATCTTAAATATGATGAGCCAAATCCAACGAAGGAAGATAGGAAGAAGTATGCTGCTAAGAAGAAAGGCAGCAGTAGTAGTGAAGAGGATGATAAAAAGAAAGAATTAAAGGTATGAAAAAAATTAAAAATTTCAAGCCGTAAAAGATAAAAGTAAGACATTAATAAAGTCAATTCTTAACGTGAACAAAAGACATCAAAAATTAGAAAATTTACAGCGCATACATCTTAGAAGTACATAAAGTCTACAGTATTATGTAAATACTGTAGACTTAACATGCATGCGCTGTAAATGAAAAAATTTTCAAGCTGCAATTAACACATACAAGTAAGACATTAATAAAATAGTATTTATAAAATACTGTAGACTTAAGATATATGCGATGTGAATTCTTTAATTTCTGATGTTTTTTGATCATGTTAAGAATTGATTTAATTAATGTCTTACTTTTATGTCTTAATTATAGCTTGATTTTTTACATATTATACTTTCAATTCTTTTCATTACTTTTATCTATTATGTATATATATATATATATATATATATATATACAATTAGTATAAAAATCTGTTTTTATGTGTTTGAGAACAAATTTTACGAACTTGTTCTTAAACACATAAACACTTTATACTAATTGTTATATAATAGATAATTCAGTAAATATATACATTTTTAAAAATAATGTCACTAATATGTCTTGTATTTTTGTTTGCTAGGATACAAATAAACGTCGAACCAGTGCTGCAAAAAAAGTGGCGGGAAATATACTGGAAAAAATTAAAAAAAAGGATCAATCACAATCAGAGGCACAAAGTGTAAGAATCTATATATATATATATATATATATATATATATATTTATTTATTTATTTATTTATTTATTTATTTATTGAAAAGTGCATTACTTTTATTACTGAGAAATAAAAGATGTTTTTACTGTAATAATTCCAACATATCTATAGGTGACTCGTGCAGATTCGGATTCGACTTCGTCATCAGATGATGATTGTGCAATATCAATGAGAACTCTATCAACATCACATAACAATAAAATAAAATTTACAGAAGAAACGGTATCTTTGAGAAAGAAAAATAGAGCGTTGGAAGCCGAAAATTTAAAATTAAAAGAAGAAAATAAAGAAATAAAAATAGCTAGCGCAAAAGGTTTAGATTTATTTTTTTTTCACAAATGTAAAAATAATATAAGATTTTTATTAAAAATTATATATCAATATGTATATATTTTTTGTTTTTAGATTTAAAAGACATAAAAGACATGACGACGACAATTTTAAGACTTTTAAAAGTTAATGAACGGGAAACAAAAAAACAGGTAAATAAGTTTTTAAAAAAAGTTTAAAATAAGTTGAATATACACCTGCATTTTCAGCTCACTAAACAAAAGAAAATAGAAATAGATATTTTGTAAAACATTTTTTCTTTTACAGAATGTAGACAATTTACATAAAGAGAGAGCCGAAGATAATGCCCAAAAAATTGTCTTTGACGGCTTCATAGATTCATTTGATCCGCCAATAAATGAAGACTCATTGAACGATGATTACGCAGTTTTTAGAGTACCTTATAAAAATAAAACGATTGTTCCACAGGATGACAATGAAATGGTAAAATTTCATTCACAATACATATATATATTTATTTATTTATAAATATTTATGATAGTTTATTATTTAATATTATAATGTAATATTAAATTTATCTTGTTTTTAAAAAGGCCAATACAAAAGAATTCAAAGTTGATTATAGTTATAAAGCAAAATATACACTTTTATACTTATACACACTAATTTAATATTTAATAATAAACTATCATGAAAAATGACTCAGTTACAATTCAGAATAACTTATAAATTACATTTTTCAGAAAAATCGTGTACTTAAAACCGTTGAAACAAAACGTGACGAGAAACGACAACTGATGACGATCAGTAGTAATGAGAACAAATTAAAGGTTAATAATATATTCATAATATTTTACTCAATAAATTAGACAATAATTTGTAATTTTATGGTACTCTATGGTAATATATTTTTAAAAGAATTCTCTGTTTAATTTACAGGAAAATGGAAAATATTTTGGAGATCGGTTTTTAAGCAATCAACAATTGGAAAAAATTAATGACAAAGACGGCCTATCAATGATGGCAAGCGAATTACTTGGATTAGTGTTCGATCGCGAGGAACTGCGAGAAAGCAGCTTAACAGGGAAGCAGGCTAATGCGAATAAAGGAAAAAACTGCCCAAAAGCATCGACACAACAGCTTGATCCTACACGTGTAGCAGATGTTGCAGGTAAAATAAATAATAACATAAAATAAATGAGAATTATTAAATATTGTAATCGGTGTTTTCAAGATATCTACATCAAATCTAATTTTTTTACAGCGTACATATACGAACGGTTCGGAGGAAAGACTCGGGACAATGAAAAATTATTTCGAGCTGCTGTTCGCAGCAAATGTAATAACGCAAAAAAATATTGTTAACTTTCTTTAAAAATTCGTTTGCAGCAAATGCAAAGTGCAAAACATGCGACTGTTTTTTAAGTTTTTTTTTAATTTTTAAAATATTTTAATTAAGTTTTTTGTTCGTAGCAAATGCAATAATGCAAAGAATACTTTTCGTTTTTTTTCAAGTTTTCTGAGTATAAGTATGCAATATTTCTGAGTATATTAAAGTTTGCAAAAATTTCTGAGTTTAATAAATAAAAAATATACCTAATATATATTTGTATATATATATTATATATATAAAATTGTATGCAATAAATAGCTATTATTTTATTATATACGTGTTTAATGTATATTGAAGTAACATATAAGATTTTATAGGAGAAGTTTTTTGGGATAATTTCAGTAGTTACTGATAAAGCAACAATATTTTAGTAATATAATTTTCAGTTAATTTTAAAACGAAAGTTATTGGACACATCACCAATATATATATTTACTATTATTTCAATGATGAAAAAAAAGTAATAATATATTTTGGTCGTTGTGTCTATTAATTATCTTTTAAAATTAACTGGAAATCATTATTAAAATATTGTCTTATCAGTAACTCTACTGAAATTATTCCAAAAAGCCTCTTTTATTTAGGCAGTAATATTTTGGCAATAATATATTTTGGCAGTAATATATTTCGGCAGTGGTACGAAATAATTATTGACATTCTATGTAATTGTCAATAATATTTTCTGTGATATCCTGTAATATTTCTTGTAATATCCAGTAATATTTTTGTAATACCCAATAATATTTCCTGTGATATCCAGCGATATTCCCATGTAATTATTAGTAATATTTATGTGTAATCGGCAGTAGTTCTTTTTCGTAAGGGTATGAAGTGTACATAGAATAGATTTATAATTATATAGAGTTGAATATATAAAATAATGAGTTATTTCTAATTTATTTTTTGTTTAAAGCAAATTATTGCTATGGAATTTTCGACGAGCGAAAACGAACTAACACCTCTTTCTCTTCCTGGGAATGTTGTATTTATCATTTTTGGAAGACGTATTTATTGCAGTTATTTTATATAGTATAAGTTGAATGGATTTTATATAAAAGAAATACATAATCATGTGAAAATTGAGAAATAAATTGTTAAAGCTTTTTCAAAAAAAAAAAAGGAAAAATTTGAATGGAAATATATATTATATTATAAGTATAAGTATATTATAAGTAATTAAAAAGAATATTTGCAATTATATTATAAGCAGAATAATAAATTGATACATCATGTTTTAAAAAGAAATTGTTTTTCATTATAAAGTGAAGAAATGAAAAAAAAAATATTAGTTTTCTTTTGGTGGTAAAGTTATTGTGAGATTGGCGTAATTAGTTATTGAGAATGTAATACTTTTTAGTTTGGAGGCAGACAATATTTCAGTTAAATTCTTGTTGATATTTTGTTGATCTATAGTGTCAGTTTGAGTGTTTGTAGGTTCATTTTCTTTGTCGTTTTGTATGCAGTTTGTAGATGTGGATGGTTGTGCTTGGTCGTAAATTGTTTTTGCTGATTGAAAAGTTGGAAAGTTATTATTTGTTATCGTGGTTGTGATTTGATTGGAAATATTCTTTTTATTAGTAAAGGAGTTGTCCACATATCCTTTAGCTACTGCGTTGGATTTCCATCCTCCGTGTCGTTTTAGTGTGAGTATGTCTGCTCCAGAGTCTGCCAAGATCGTGGCAGAAGTACGACGGAATGTATGTCCAGTGTAAGAGTTAGGATCTGGTAGATTCAGATAAGTTGCGATGACCGTTGGCATTTTGCCAAATTTATTGAGTCCAATCACTTGATGGGTGCATTTTCCTTTTTGGTAGTTTAGAAATAATTTTGGTGTTTTGATGTCGTGTGGTCTGAAGACTAAGTATTTTTATAAATACTGTAAAATTCTTTTGTTACTACAAAGCTTCTCGGTTTATAGTTTTTTGTGGTTGGAATTGTAATGAGCAATAGAGATCCTCTGTCTTTGATGTGTTCCATATTTATATTAGCTAGTTCGTCTCTTCTGCATGCTCTACATATTCCAAAGATAGTAGCGAGCTGTAAATAATATATGTAATGTATAAATTTGTAAATAGTTGAGTATGCGTGTGTATAATGTATGAAGTTTTTTGTGGTATGGTTATATTATTTACTTTATATTTGTAATTATGTTTAATATTTTAGTTATTATGTAATAATGTATTTTTATGTTTGATATTTACCTTTGTCGCTAAGTGTGTTTGATCTGGTGCTTCATCGAGGAACTTTTTAATTTGTTCCGGTGTCAATGTGTTCGCTTTTTTGGACTGAAATCCTTTTGACTGGTGTTTTTAGAAATGAAGTGAGGTTTTCGTATTTGTTGATGTTGATATTATTTTTTATATTTATTGTAGTCTTGAGCATTGAGTATGTTGCCCACATAGTCGATGGCTTGTTAAATTTCGATAGCTTTATGAAATAAGCGAGAAGTGTCTTTTCAGACATCGATTTGGTTTTTTTTTTTTAGCTCTCCATGCTATAAACTTGCTGTATGCTGTTTCGTATTTTTCTCTCGATTTTGGGGGTAAGAGACTTTGTATCGTAGCTTCAGCGGTTTCTGTTATTTCAGGAGGTGTTAGTTCGTTTTCGCTGGTTGATAATTCCATTATGTTGTCACTTGTCATAGTTTTAGGATTGTTTTTTTATATTTGATTATTTTGAACACTGTATGTTTAATGAATTTAGTTTTGTGTAACGCAGAGATGACTGATATGCGAGTAGGTGATATGTTACGTGAAGCGAGTGAGATACGAGATACGAGTAGCTGATAGGTTAGATGCGTGTTGGGCAGGCGCAAAGTGGCGGTAGTGTGCTAGTTATTTTTCGTGTGTGCTGAGAGATGGCGTTGAAACCCGTAGGAAATACATTGAAACCGGCTTGGGAGGCTATTGAAACCGGCTTGGGATGCATTGAACATAAGTATGTAATATATTGTAAGTCGATGGTGGAAATTGGTTACTTTCGGCACAAAAATCGTGCACCGAAAGTGCCACATTGCCTGCACATGTAATACAAAATTTATTTAATACATCATATTTATTTTTCATTAATCATTATTATCTTATCTACATATCTAATATTAATTATAAAAGGTATAATAAAATAAAGGATAAATAATATTTTTTTATAATTTTAAAATTTATATTGCAGAAAATATAAATATTATAGAACTCGTCTTATTAATTTTACATGTTGAACTTTAACTAAACTATAATTGTACAGTAAAATGACTCGTAGCCCGTGAGCTTTAGGCCATGTTTTTTAATTCATCGATGGAGCAAGCGCATTATGCGCAAATCTGCACGTAGCATTTACGTATCATGCGCTTGATCCATCGATGAAATAAAAAACATGGCCTTACTTAACTTGCTTACAATAGTATTACTACAAAGATATTTGTACTTCATCTTTGGTATTAGTGTACATGTGTCGTAAAACTCTTTTTTGTTAAATTTTCCTTCCGATGAGTTGGATGACTTGACAGGTTTACGTTGGTCTATAACATAATATAATATTAAAGCCTAAACTTTTCAACAATTTTATTTTTTTAATGAAAGAAATTTTATAAAGTCCACATTGATTAGATGCTCACAGACGAGCTTGATCCAACAGAATCTACATCTATCTGTTGGATTGTATCTAATCTGAAAGCACCTTAATGCAGTTAAAAATTTAACTAAAATAAATATTAATATTGTACATTTTAAATATAATCATACCTGACTGTGTGTGTGTGACTACAAGATTTTTTTGTAAACATAGGAGTTCTACTAAAAATTCTTTAATTTCTTCCGCACTTTTTAAAAATTTTTTTATTGATAAATTGCTTATGCTTTCTTAATTTTTAGTTTGTCATCTTCCGAATCCTGTAAAAAAGCAGTCTCCTTTTGACCAAGAAGCATTAAGCGATCAACAGCTTCTGAATATGTTTCTGAAATAAGATTATTGTTTTATTAAATTTATTATAATTAATTTCGAATAAATAAGCTTACATTGTTTAATCAATCCGTAAGAAAAATTTTTAACTGCATCAAGGTGCTTCCAGATCAGATACAATCCAACAGATTGATGAACATTCTGTTGGATGAAGCTAGTCTGTGAGCATCTAATCAATTTGAACTTTATTAAATTTCTTTTATTTAAAAAAAATAAAATTGTATATAATACATACTTGCTTGACCAACAATGTCAACACTGAACAGTGGCCATGACTCTGGTGCTTCCACTTCGTTTTTAACCAAATCATGGAGATTATTTATCCCTTCTTTTATATATGGAGGTGAAAGAAATGGAACTTTCAATCGTTTAGTGTTTTTATCCCAATTAATCCAAGTTGAAGGAACTTTCAATCGTTTAGTGTTTTTATCCCAATTAATCCAAGTTGAAGGAACGATATCAATCTCTTTTGTGGAACCTTTTTTTCTTTTTCTAATAAATCTGACAATTTTAAACCGATGAACCATTTGTTCATCATCGCTGTCAGACATCTGTAAATATATCTTTATATATAATGCTGAAATTTTGAGAGCCATATATTTATAATTTGTAGCAAACATACTTATATATTATATTATATACTTAGAACTATTATTGTGTTCAATTTTAAGGTTCTTAATAATAATTCTTTATATGTAAAGAACATAATTATGCATATAATTATATATATATATTGTGTGTTGTGTGTGGGGGGGGGTGTAAATGCGTTAATTCATATAATTAATATAATACTTACCGTGCAATTTTACCCCGAATGAGCTGATGATGCATGCAAAAAATCTAGGCAAAGGAAAGGATCCAAAAAACAAGAGATATATGTATGACAAAAGATATACATTAAATGTGAAAAGCAATAAAAATCTCGACAGCATTTGACGTAGCGCAAATATGGGCCGCATTAGAAGTCTGGTCAAATCCAGACTTGCGCCCGTTTAACTTTATAATGAATGCCACGCCATTTATATATCAGGCGCAAGGATGGCCCTGATATGTATCTTTCCAATTCTTTTAGATAAGGCTGTAGTGTGGCAAACTTGCATGGTGCTAACAAATGTCGTGGCACCGGCAAGGCAATTTCTACCATTATGTGTATATATATATATATATATATATATATATATATATATATATATATGTAACCGTTGATTTTATATTGTCCGTCGGATCGAAAAGGATCCGGGAAA